TGGGAATATTCTAGCTGCAGTTGATGGTTTCAGGGGGCATGAGTAGATGACATAGTCTTTCTATCTGCAAAATATATTGTTGCCAATCCTAGAATATAGCTCTGTGATTTTAGGGATAGAAAATCTTGGCCCTGTTGTTTAGCAGAAAATTTTAGTAAAAGTAATTTTTGCTATAGATCTTGAGCTGAAAGTGTAATGGCCAGTCATTTAGCTTTTAAACTGATCTACTAAATCAGTTAACAGAGAATGCACAAAAGAAAAAAATTACTTAAGTCTTGGAAAAAACCATGTCCACACTCTTGTTTGTAATCTCTTAGCTTGAATATTTCAGTCTTTGTAGTTTTGAGTAATTGAAATATACTAAGTCTGTGTGTGAACTATATATATATAAATCAGTGTAAAAAATATAATCTCTAGGTGTCTTTTGGTAGCTCATAATTTTGAAAGGGACTCAGTGTTGAAAGAGACTCAGTGGCTGACTGATAGAGGTTGAAAAATACAATAGGAAGATGCAGAATGAGGGACCTATGCTAACAACTTGTGTAATTCTGTAATTACATACCTCATTACAGGTATGTAACTTAGAGCTAAATTATCTACCTTGATCTGCTTGCTTTAATTGTTTTGGCCTTGTATCATTTAATGTTTTAACAGACATTCTGTCTTCCTTGTCCAAAGAAAGACTGTTTCATAGCATAACATCTTTAAAAAAGTCTATTGCTTTCAGAAAGAATTGAGTTTGTAGATCTGAATAAGGTGAAAAAATTGCATGTTCCTTGTGGTTACCACACTACACACCTGGACAAGAGGTGGCTGAAAGCTGCTCAGTGGACAGGAACTTGGGGCTGCTGGTTGACAGCTGTCTGAACATGAGCCAGGAGTGTGCCCAGGTGGTCAAGGAGACCAAATGCAGCCTGGCCTGTACCAGAAATAGTGCGGCCAGCAGGAACAGGGAAGTGATTTTCCCCCAGTACTCAGCACTGCACAGACAGCACCTGAAACAGGGTTAGGAAGGCTGGGAAAAAGCCAGATGGTTTTTTGGGCAGGTGCATTAGAAGCTCAGTCTCACAATGTGGCATGCAAGGTTTGTGTTCTGCAGGAGCACTGGGCTTCAGCTCTGACCCCCTGAGCACCTCTTGGCTGGAAACAGTAGAGATGCTGGTGGCTTGGCAGATGTGCAGCTCATCTTGGGCAGGCTGCAGGTCTGTCAAGGGTAAATGCAACCCCTGAACACATCAGGAGGGAGTTTCCACTCAGGATGAGCAAGTGTTACAGTCCATTGCAGGTGCTGGGCCGTGTCCCTTGGGAAGGGGGAATTTGAATGAGGAACTTCTCCCATGAGAAGTGGTTCTGAATGCACTTTCAAACTTCATTTGCTTAACTTAGCAAAAGGGAGAATCAGAGGAATAAGGCTCTATAGTTTGAACTAATGCATGATAGCAATTGTATGAGGTGGTGCCTGCTAACAGCAGAGGACTAGATCTCCTGGTTTAGAAGACCTCCTAACATTCAGTTTTTCTGTTTTCCAGTTTATTCATTAATTTGGAGAAACAAATTCAAAAGTGCTTAAGTTGATAAAAAAAATTTGCATTCCTAAGAAGATCCTGAAAGTGTTCAGTATTTATTTGAGGGTACTTGGGAAAAAAAAGCTGTCATGTGTCTACATCTGGTAATTGGAATTTAGAGGATTCTGCACACAGCTTGAAGCAGGAGTACTAAGTCCTCCCATTTTGAAAATGTGCTTTCAGAGGGTCTGTGCTCTCTCCCGACAATTACAGTTCAGATGACCTTACACATGCAAACCCCTGCCCTGGGAACAAATTTAGCATGGAAAATCATAGGCATGACTCCAATTAGCAATTTCAGCACTCATCTCCCAGTGTTGAACAGTGACAGCCAGGAGGGGTTTGTGGGTCACCTGCAAACACAGATCCAGTGTAGCTCAGAGTAGACAGGGCAGGGACTGTCCCAGACAGTCCCAGTTGTTCTGCACCATGTCTCTCTGACCTGCACCTTGGGGGCTGTTCAAGCATCTATTTCTGCAGTAGTCTGGCAGGAGATAGGCACCTCTCCAAATAGCTGCACTGAGAACCTGGCACATTTGCAGGCATTCAGGCTGGTGCTTTGTATTCTGTCTGAGTGCTGCTGCAGCTCTTGGACAGGGATTTGTGAAATCTGGGCCTCAGACTTGGCTTCCCAGTAGTCCTGGTGCAGCTTTATGAGGAATGCATCACAGGGAATATTATCAATGTACAGCTCTCAGTAGCTTAAAAATATGAAGGTACATTTCAGCCACGTGGCTTTTACAAGGATGATGTAGGTGCTTGTCAAATTATTCATCCACAGCATTGTGTTGTCTCTGCAGGCTTCTCAGAAAAGGTGTCATAATTATATGAATTTTAACATTTATTCTTATTCTAATTAGATTTGTTAAATATTCTTTTTTTTTTAAAGCTTTAAGGTTATAACTTTGCTCAAAAAGACTGGGAGTGGTATTTTATAATTACCTTATCATTATTTGCATGTATATAAAGACACAAGCATTGTAGAGTGAAATATTTTATGCATTTCTGTTATTTGTTTTTCATAATCAATCTGGGTGTCTCCTCAAAATAAGTAAAAAATTTGCTACCAATAGGACATAAGAATGAAATTCTTATGCCAATTCTTATATCAAATTAAGAAACAGTGTGGTCACACTGCTGCTGTCATCTCAAGAAAAATTGCTTAACTTTGGTGTAGTTTTCCCATTTGCACAATGTGGTTAATTGCTTCTCCTTCTTCTGGCTGAGGACTGTAGTTGGATTTATCAGTATTTTTGTAAAATTGTGAGTGCCTCAGAAATAGTGCATGGATACCACAAACTGTGCAAGGAGAACAGCTCAAGTGAGCAGAGAAATCACTCCGTAAATCACTCCACTGGTGTGTGGGTGAGCCTCAGCAGAAGCACTGGGAAGGGGGGGAAATGAAGGAAGAACACTCAGGTAAATGCAGATAGGAGAGATGGAGCATTGAGCAGCAATCACAAAGCCATGGTAGGTACCTTAAAAACCAAAACAATACACTCAGCTGTTTGAGGAGGACATGACAGGGAGATGTGGCTGCTGGTGGACAGCATTGCAAACTGTAGGTAAGGTGTAATAGTGGTTAGCTGCAGGGCTGGTTCAGGACTGGTACAGCACTTTGGGAGATGGTTACTTCATTAAGGGAATTGCTCCATATGGACCCTTCAAATCTTAAGAGAAATGTGGGACTGATGACTGAGGTTGTAAGCCAGTCACCTGTTCACTGTTCAGATGTTCCTGTGTTCACAGTTAAATGTTCCACCGTTTGCTTTCAACAGATATTACCTTATCTGTTTTTATTTCCCCCACAAGGTTTTAGAAGAGAATGGCGAACAAGTGCCCTGTTACTCTGTCATGGTGAGTTTACAAGAAGTTGGTGGTGCTGAAACTAAGAACTGGACTGTTCCCAGGAAGCTCAATGAGTTTCAGAACCTACACCGCAAACTCAGCGAGGTATGAATCCTGGTTAGGGGAGGGAAAAGATACAAACTGACAAAATTTGTCAGAATGACAACAATTTAATGCTTCCAGTTTTAATGCCAGCCTTTTGGCTTTTAGCACTTTAGAACTAGATTTCTATCTGCATATTTCTGGTCTCTGACAAATGATTATAAAACTTGTTTTTAATTTTTTCCCCTTAATAATGTTTTACTGGACTAATCCCATTTCAAAATGGTATATGCTCTGCACTGTCATACAAGAGCCTGCTATAAGAGTGAGGTTTTATGTCTGGCTTCTGGGGAAGTATTAGAAATGACAGCTTTTGGGGAGAGAGAAGGTTGGGATTTTTTTCACAGTGCTTTAACCTTTCTGTCTGATAAGGAATAAATAATGGTGCTGTAAAGGGGAAGGGTTCAGATGTGTCAGCCCATAGTGGTAAAGGGAAGGTGTTTTCTTGAGAAGGGTGTGGAAGTGAGATGAGAGCAAAAAGGAGTCTCTTCATTTCCATTCGGAACCACCTGAGCTCTCCTTTCTCCTACACAGTGTTTTCCATCATTAAAGAAAGTTCAGTTGCCTTCTCTCAGCAAGCTGCCCTTCAAATCCGTAGACCAGAAATTCATGGAGAAATCCAAGAACCAGCTTAATAACTTTCTACAGGTAAGATAGTAAGGACAAAACTGACAGATATCTAAACAGGAGAATTGAGAGGCTGCTGCCTCTCTTTGCCTAAAGAAAGAGCCTAGAACAAATAGGTCAAATGTAAAATTTGACACTATAAATGTCAAAGTTGTACAAAATGTCAAAGTTGAGATGAGTTTGACTGATAGTAACCATTCCTCTAGTAGTAATTTAATTTAAACTTCAATTAATTGAAGAATCATAATGAATCCTTTAATTGCCACTTTCAGCTAAAACTCCTTCATTCACAACAAATTCCTTACATGGGAGAAATTGTTATAAAACAAGAAGGTTGTAAGACTAAAAGCTTTATTCTTACTAGTTCCAGTACTTTAGAAATAGTTTCTTAAAGTATCTTAGTGAGATAGGGATTTTTTTCTCACACTACCTCTGAGCTGCAATTTAATCAGTTTTATTGGATGCCTCAATACATCTTATTCCTTAACAAGAAATATTTAATTGATGTGTTGCTGTGTTGTGATGTGTCACTATTTTTGTTTCATAGAAATTACTCTCTGATGAAAGACTCTGCCAGAGTGAAGCACTTTATGCCTTCCTGAGCCCCTCCCCAGAGCACCTCAAAGTTATTGATGTGCAAGGCAAGAAGTCATCGTTCTCACTCTCCTCATTTCTAGAACGACTTCCTGGTGATTTGTTTTCTCATCAGGAGGTAAGTGGTAGAAAAGCAATCTTCCCAAATTTAATTACTTATCCTAAGTAAGCAGGGAGAGTCATTAGTATTTGAGTGGCAGGCAATATTTCTAAAGGTCATTTGTAATTTACTGTAAGTGAACAAAGAGAAGAAAGAGCCGCCTATGAATTTAAAAGATGTTTATTAATAAAACAGGTTTCCTGCCTTTTGGTACATGCATATAGGCAAATGTGTAAGCTATCACAAATAAACAAATTGCAGTTCATGTGGGATTGTTTATTTTTTTACAGCAGAATTTTCCACTTTTTGAGTTCTGGACATGCGTATTTCAGAGAGGTATTGGCAGGTAAAAATACACTTGGGAATATTCTCTTGGCAAGAAAGAACAGCTGTGTATCCCTAATTTCAGGACAACTTCATAAGCAGAGCTAGTTTTGACAAAAAACTGTTGGCAAATAATACAGGCTTACTGAGGGAATTTGCAAGTGCAGGCAGGAGTCTATGTAGGCAAACCAGATGGAGAATTTGTTATTAAGCCATAAAAACCCATTGTTTATCAAAATGCAATGAATAATAGATTAGTGACCAAAATAGCTAATTGACTAAATTGACCATAATTCCATGGCACTCTGTTCTGTGTTGTTCATGTTCAGATAATGCAACATTCAAGGAGATGTTTATATTCCCCCTTTTAGTTACATGTTATACAAAATTCATTTAAAACAGTTAATTTCTGACATGCTGTAGTTGTCTGGAGCAGATGGGTCTTATGCAGGACAATTTGAGATTGGGGAGCATGTATACTTCTAGGCTTTTATAGGGAGAAAGGTGGTCTTGCATCTCAGAAACAAGAAAATCCTATATATGTACCTTGCAAAAGAGTGCTGTGTTTGCATATAGATGCTGAATGCATGTGCCTCATTTCAGAGTAATAAATATAAAGGAAGTTTGAGAAACTAGTTTTACTTTGATAGAAGTACTGGAGTTATACAATCCAAAGTGCTTTCACTAAAATGACTAATGATAGGTAGAAGTAGCACAAAAGTATTGAAGTATGAAGCTGTTTATATTTTGCTATTTAATTGAAAAACATCCTCAAGACATTGTATTATGGGAGATAGATATTGTATTATGGGAGTGTGTAGGAGGAAAAAGTTGGGAAATACAGGAGAACGAAAAAGAATGTTTAATACCAGTGTGTGAAAGGAGAAAGAACAAATAAACAAAGCAGAAATTATGCAGCTGTTATTGCTTCACATTTCTCTCTCTTCTCCCTTCTTTCCTTAAGCTTACACATAACAGAATACAGATGGTGGGAACTCTTAGACCCTATGAATGAGTATGTCAAACAATTGCCCTAAAGTGAAAGTAATAAAATAAAATGGAGGAAGACAGACTGGGAGGCAGTCTGGGACTAGCTCTGCTGTTTCCTGGACTCCCATGTCTTTCAGAAAGAGCTTTGGATCAGCTCAGTCTTGCCCCACTGATAGCATCTTGGACACTTTCCTAAAGCAGTTAAACTGGGCTTAAATCATTTGGTACAAGGTCATAAATGAAGTTGGTTGTGTTTAAAACACTCGTAAAGCTGGTATAATTGTGTTCTTTTTGTAACTGAGACTTCCTGGTTTAGTTTGTGTTTTGAACTTTGTAGTATAGAATGCTCTCAGATTCAGCTCTCTTTGCCCTTAATCTCATCTCACATTTTTCAAATATATGTCAGAGCAATAATATTACCTCTTGAGTGTTGTGTTCAGGATTAGATACTGCAGCAATTTCTTTATATATATAAACTCCTTGGACAGGGTTAGCTTTAGAATGTATTTTTTAGCTCTCTAGACCAAAACCAAATCAGAGCAAAAATGCAGTTGATATCATCTAGAAAGAAGGGCTTTTAGGTTTATAAATCTACTGGATAGAAAATGCACTGTAGTGTAAGAACTTACAGTTCTTGTTGCATTTTCTAAATGACAGAAGATTCACTGAATAGCAGAAAAATAAGCCAATTATAGATGATTGAATGATGAGGAAGAAAGGAAGAGATGATTGATATCTTTGAAAACCAGGCTGAAGAAGAAAATTTTCACATCATTGTGACCATTTCTGATCCAGAGACTGGGGCATCACACCAGCCTCAGTGGAGGTCAGGTCTGCCTGGTCTTCCAGCAAAGCTAAAGTCTTTAGCTTTGCTGGAAGCAAAGGCGGGCAGGGCAAGATCCAGGAAAGCAAAGGGATGTGTTGGCTGCCATGAGAAGTGACAGGAGTTGTAGTCCTGATCCTGAAGCAATCTTCATGATAGTGAGAAACAACCTGCTGTGTGCCCTTCACTCTGAAATAGATGGTACTGCCAGAATGGAGGTGGTTCAACCCAGTCATCTTCTGGGAGTCTGTCTGAATAGCTCTTCTCCCTTTGGTACCCTGAGCTGGGGTATCCTCAGGCTCAGGTCACTATCTATCACAATTTGTGTTTCTGGCTAGTTCTCTTTCCACTGCTGGCTTTGGCTCCCAGCTTACTTCAAGGACAACTGGTTAGGGCCTAATCCCACTGAGGGGCTTCAGCTGTGAAGGCACTGTCTGTTCTCCTGGGGAACCAGCTACTTACTTTTCCTGGTGCAATAACCAGATTTTCCCCCTTTCTTCCCAGTGTTTGCGTGGCAAAGAGCTCCAGCTGTCTAGCTCCCCACCCTGAATGTTTTTTATGGGTGTTGTGTCAGAGGGAGCTTTGCAATCACAAACACTGCTGAGTGCCATCTCCTGCTTACAGCTGTCACCTGTTTCCCAGCAGTACACGACTCCCACATCAGCTGCTTTCTTGCATCCAGCTGGTGCTGATGGGGCAATAGAGGCAGCATTGAGGTGCCTACTGGGGCACGGCTGCAAGCAGAAGGTACAGCAGTGATGATAATTCCAGCAGTGCAGTGTCCTCATCACTTTAGTCCAATGGGAAGTTTTCAAGATCCCTGGTGAGATTCCTCTTGGCCAGATCCTGCCAGCAGCAGTTTTTGGCTCTGTTTTTTGAGAGGACTGGCTGTGCTCCTTCTGCAGAGCATGGCAGTAACTAAATCCATTCTGGAAGAAGGCTGGGGAACTGCAGCACACACCCATGTTGTCTCTCTCTTCCTAGGAAGAAACAGAAGAGGACAGTGACCTGTCAGACTACGGAGAGGAGGTGGATGGGAAGAAGGACTCTCTTGCTGAGCCGTGTTTCATGCTGATTGGAGAGATTTTTGAACTGCGAGGAAGTAAGATGTAAACCTGCTCAGTTGCTAATGGAATCTCTTAGCTCTTAGGACACTTCACAATTCAATGTTTTTGCTGTTTCAATAAGTGCAATCTATATTGCACCTAATTTTCATTCTTCAATCTATACGGCCAGTTTGGGACCAAGCTATTCTTCAGTAGTTCATAACTTTGGAGCTTTCATTCAAAAGTGAAATTACAATATAAAATGGCAATAAAAATGTAACTGGTAGGGGAGAGCATTTACACTTAATATTATTAAATTTTTCATGAAAAGATTAGAAAAAACGGACAGTAGTATTCTTTTTGTAAATAAGCTGTTCATTAGATTGTGGGAATTCTTGAATAAGGAAAGATGGCTTTACTACAGAACATGTCTCTGACAAAGAAATATAATTTTAATATCAATTTAAAGTAAATTATATGTGCGTTTTAGTTCTAGTTCATTTCATCAACTTCTATGATGAAAATTATACTAGAATTGTGGTATATTTAAATACTGGATTTTCCCCCCTCTTTATGTAACTGAATGATTATGAAACAGAAACAAAAATAACTTTATTATTGTGCAGCCACACATGATGCTTTATAAAATTATTTACAGGGTAACTATTGCAAAATGTGTCACATTCCAAAAATGGTAGCTATATCTCCCAAATATAGACTTTATTGTGATGTTGAACAGTAGGAAAGGAAGGTTTACCAGTAATTACTAGGAAGCACTCACTTTTGTTTCATTTATTTGTAATGGAAAGCTGACTGCTTGGTTTGAGTGAAAATGTTTTCAGAATTTTAATAGTGCTGCTGTGTGTACTTTATACTAATTGTTATGAAAAAGGTGGGAAGTTTGAAAGTATTTGGTTTTTTTTGTAGTAGAAAAAGGGTTTTGAGTAGTTGTATTGCTCAATAAACTTGAAATATTCTTATATATAAAAATTTATGGTATAACCTAGAATGCATTTTATAGGCATGGTTATATAATCTGCAGGACCTAGAAACCATACAGCAAACAGTACAAGGAATGTGATCAAGCAAGATGAAACCACTGTACAATTAATGGAATCTTAGAAAGGGTTATAACAATGTGTTTACTGTAGGGGTGGATTGTTTGGGTTTGGTTTGGTGGGAGGTAGGGGGAAATTTTTGTACATGGTCACGGGTTCTGTAATGTTATTAACTTCTTGGTCATTATTTTTATCATTTTTTGTTGTTCTAGTGTTCAAGTGGGTCAGAAAAACATTAATTGCACTAGTACAAGTCACTTTTGGAAGAACCATCAACAAGTAAGTAGCTGTTGCTTTAACTGAACTTTCATCATCATTCTGTTAAAAAAAGGCTGACAGAAGAACTGTTAAAAATAATCTGAACATCCTGTTGGATATGGTAATCTGCATTTGTTTTCCATAGCTCAATTTACAGCTATGTTATATTTATTAGAGAAAACACAGATATGTGAATTATCTTTATGCTTCCAGGTGAGGCCTGCCTGAGGCTAGGAGCATACCTGTCTGTAAACACCTTCATATGGAAAGCTGTATCTCTGGTCAGAAACAAATTTTAGAAGTATTCTATCAGCACAGCAAGCTGTTCTTTGTCCAATCAGTGACTAAATTTGCACTTGCCAGCGTGGCTTTTAAAGCCTCTGATGTGTATTACGTAGCAGTAAATCGGACTGGTCTCAGACAGTATCCGCTCACTGAGTTTTAAATTGATTGGTTCATTTGTTCATACCCTGCTGATAACTGGAAAATGCCTGAAGGAGGACAGAGAGGCAGAGAATTTCTGAGCATAGCTTGCATGCAAAGTTCCTGTGTAGCTTTTACATGTAGGTTGACTTTATTGATTTTAAGGAATTTGGCTGTATGGCAACAGCACTGACTGGAGCCTGCTCTGCCTTAGACTCCTGGTGCTGAAGGCTTCACTGAGTGGTGCAGCCACAGGAAGAGGCTGCTATCTCTGTCTGTAATCCCTTCAGTAATGTGCTTTGCTATCTGTGAAGGAACTTACTGTGCTTCTATCAAAACTGTCTGTTTTTATCCTAGCAGGCACATCTCCACAGGCAACTAGTTTGGAATTTGCTACTATTAGTGACCTGATTTTCCTGACTTTTACTGGTGGAGCATTTGCAGTGCCTGTCCTTGAAATGTAGTTTTGATGTACATTTCAATGTAGTACTTGTAATTTGAAATGGATGTTTGGGGATTACCTTGAAAAGCAGCCTTCTCCAGATCTAAGTGATGTATCAGGAGTGATCTAGATCCTAGAGCACCCAGACTTGAATATGACCTGCTGTTATGCCAATGAAATCAACTCAGGCATACTGGCAAAATTATGTGAAAAAGAACATCTCTTCCACTCCTTTGAGGAGGAAAAAGAATAAATATGGATAAAACATGAGACTAACTCTGATGGGCTCCCTTCTCCACTTCTTTACAGGCAGATCCGTGACACTGTACACTGGATGTTCAGTGAGCCAATGCTTGTTTACTACATTGGGGTGTTTCGAGATGCTTTCTGGCCAAATGGAAAGTTAGCTCCAGCACCGAGAGCCAAGAGCGATGAACAAAAGCAGGACACAAAACAGAGAGCACAGCAAAAACTACTTGAAAACATTCCAGGTGAGTTCACTTTGATTCTGCTTAATCACAGAGCTAATAACTAATAAGGAAACTGGTTAATCAAATTATTTTCATGTAGACTTTTAAGTTATGATTATTTGTATAAACAAGGATTATTTTGGTCTTAGTCTTTGCCTCTCCTGCCTGTCTGGTAAAAGGCTTGGATTCAGATATTACTGGTGGATGCAAAATCAGAATTGCTGTATTTTTGTGCATAATGCTCATCAAGGAATCTCAGTCGATTCTCTCTCTGCTGGTTCTCTGTTAGCAAATATGGGGCTCTGCTACTTGGAATTACTTGCCAAACAGGGACAGTGGCACCACCCCAATTCCTCCTATATTTTGAAGTTGGAGAGTGAGGGATCTATGCATGCCATCAGTGTTGTGTGTTGTCTCTTTCTGATAAGAGGTCTCAGGGCACTGAACATTAGAGTGACCTGCAGCCCGGGCAGAAGAAGCTCCTAGATGGAGTGGTTTTATCAGTATTTTCCTTCACCTGCCCTTATCTCCCAAGCCTGGGCAGCTGCTTTTTCAGCCAGAATGCTTTTGGGGCACTATACTGAGATGTTCCATGCTGTCCCACTCACAGGACAGGAAATGCAGTTACAAATTTCTGACTTCAGAGATCATGTAAACCCAAAGGCACCTAACTGAAAAGAATCAAAATCATTACTGTTAGCACTTGGAAATGCACTTCAGCATAGCTTGAATGCATTTTCTCTGCTCTGTGTGAAGAGAATGAGCTATTTTATGGCTTCACTTAAATATCTCATATGCCCCCATGCATTAGGCAGTTTAATCAACTTTTGCAGCACAAAAGGAGTAGGTATGCATGGAAAATATTTGTCTTTTGATGTGTAAACAACCCTTAAGTTTACCGCCTGTGTTATATACTCATCTACTTACTTAAATAGCCTTCCATAGTTGGTTTGTGGTATTGTTTGATTTCCTGTTTGTTTCTGAGCTTGGAGCCATATGTCAAGACATAGCTGAATGCACCTTAGATTAATGAGGGAACATTGAATCACTATTTATTCTCTAATTTAATCCAAAGTGTAAATAATTGACTTAGACTCTCTTAACTGCCTTCTTGTGGGAAGTATTCTGTGACAATTGAGTGGCAATTAAAGTGCTAAATTTATTTTAAATGCTGTAGAAGTTGTGTCTTTGGCTTAAGGTGTATTTAAGTGAGAGGTTTAATGATGTGTGAGATGAGACTTGACTCAGTGAGGTGAACTACTGAAAAGGCATTTGATGCATCATGTTAGAACACTTAAAATGTTCTGAGATGCACACACTATTATCAGGTGGGTAACTGGAGAATAAGGGTATCTTTTCAAGCTGTGTTTTTAAAAGGTTGTTTAGTAGGGACTCTGTGTATCTTGTAGTCAAGGGCCAATGAAGTGCAGTGGCTTTTTTCCCCCTCCTTTTTGGGTCTTTATGGTTGAACTAAATGATCTTGAAGGTCTCTTCCAACCTTTATGACTGTGATTATGGGTAGTAAATTGATGATTCTGGCTGGAGGTTTTGCCTAGCATGAGTGAAACAACATAAACTGAAGTAATGTTTGTTGCAGATACTCTGCAGAATCTCGTTGGACAACAAAATGCCCGTCATGGTGTAGTGAAAGTGTTCAATGCATTGCAAGAGAGAAAGGCTAATAAGCATCTACTTTATGTGAGTAACCAGAAAAGTACCTTTTTAACTTCATAATCCTGTAAGTTACTGAGCTCCACTCACTCCTTATTGAAGCCTAGGGGATGTGGTTTTGCAGAGATTTATTTATTATTAAAATAAGTCAGTTGCTCTATGTTTGATCACTTGACTAAGTTTAAATAACAAAAGACTGTTTAACAGCAGCGTTGTTTTTGTCTAAAAGAGATCTTCTACCACATACAATGTGCCTGACTTCCTAAGGTACAAACTAATTTCTTCATACAGCTTAGAAAAACAAACATACCTTGGAGAATCCTAGAGAAGAACTCCAGAACTGGTTCATAGTTAGGACATGACAGCCTTCCAGAAGTTCCACTCCTCAGCTGTAGGGAATAGTTGGACCATGCAGCTGGATCTAAGTATGACACCTTCACAGTCAGTCAGTCTCTTCTGGCACATTCCAGACAGCAGCCTGTCACACAATGCTGCCCCAGCACCAGAGAGAAAAGGTGCATGCCCTGCTGCTTGCTTAGGATGCTGTGGAGTCTTTGACACAACAGCACCAGTTTATACTGGGTGGGAAATCCCCATCTGAATGGAGCTGCCCTCAACACTTGCCTCCCTTCAGCCTTAAGACATTTCCCATGTTATCTGTGGGGCATGTGCTAAATTCTGGATGAAAGAAAAGTACGAATGTAATCAAACCTATGTGCTTCTGTTATTTATGGTTATCTAAAAATGACAGAAAGGAAGAGAATTTTGGTTGGCACCTGCATAATTTTAACTCTTTTCTGTTTTTCAGGTTTTGCTGGAACTGCTGCTAACTGAACTGTGTCCTGAGCTGAGAGCTCATTTAGAGCAGCTTAATGCCACTTAAGGTTTGAATCTGCACAATTGGACCACTAGAGAAATGTCTATGTTCAAAAATAGACATGAAACTTATTTTCCTCTTTTCCATAGAGGGCTGAGGACTATGATTATTTTTAGCATTTTTCTTTCCTCTTGAGTTTTTTGTGAAGTACAGACTTGAAAAGATCTGATGCTGATGTAGGGTAGACAAAAAAATGCTGTATAGCTGCCAATTTTTATTTAAATTGTTCTATTTGACTACTCCTCTGTTTCAAATATAGATTAAAAAATAAATGTTCATATATGCTGAAAGAAACCAGAAGATATTTTAAACATTTATGGAAAGAAATTTTGCTTATAGTGGTAAACTAATGAATGTTGTACAGTTCTAATCTCCTCACTGAGGATTTGAGCATTCCTTTTTTTTTCTTGTGTATTGAAAAAGCCTTGTCGTGCAATATTACATGTAAAGCTATTGTGAAAATTTTATCAATTTTGGTTTTACCAAAGATTTCCTGTGGTTTGGAGCATTTGTAAGCAATAAATATCACAACTGGATTGCAGCACTTGATATGAGGCTGTACTGACAACGGATCAATGGGTTTGACAGCACTAGTTTCATAAGAAGTATCTACATTGCTTTGAAGTTTGTGTCAAAATTATGTATTGTAAACTGGTATGTCCTAACAGAATGCCTGTGTTCAATGTTAGTTCAAAGATTAGTGCTTATGAATTGCTTCTATGAATGATCAAGTAGACATTTAATTAAACCGTTCTGATAACTTCCCTGATATTACTCAGGGCTGTTTTATTCAAATGCCCCAATTTCAAATAACCTTCAAATCTTTCTCTTATTTTATACAAGGAAAGAAAACTGTCTTCAGTGTTTTTTTTTTTTTTTAATTTATGTAAAAACATGTAAATATGATGTTAATGCACATCTAAATAATTAAACATCATCAAAAATCCCTAGCTGACACTCATTACTGTCTTCTCAATTCAGTACAGTTGTGCTCTTAGAAAAACTACTTGCAGTTATGACTGGCTGTATTGTAAGGTACATACAATCTGCATAATCTATATAAATCAACATTTTTAGTAACATCTAACCTTCTGTTCTAACAGTTTCAGAAGAGTTTGCAAGTTGTGGCACAGTACTAAGAAGCAAGGCAAATTCTACACTTACAAAGCTTCATAAGTAAACAGGCATTTAGAAATGTGCAAGCTGACCACAGCAATCAGTAAGTTTTCCTAGTGGTTAATCAGTGTCTTTTCATAAAAGATCCAGCTTGACATTGCTCAGACATAAATACTCCTAGCCAAGAGATTTCCAACTATTTCTAATACAGAGGCAGTGTGAATGCAATATGGAGAATTGAGAAAAACAGGCCTTGTCTTGGGGATGTATATTCAATATTTCCATACTAATGTTTGGGGCTTTTTTCCCACAGTTCTGTAAGTAGTGTTTATTAGTTTTAGAAGCTGGTATGGTTTGAATTGTAAAGCTTAGGGTTCTGCTGGACAGTTTCCAACTTTGAGTCTCTGCAATCCAAAAGAAATATGTATAAAGACTTTTAAGTAAATCTAGATGCTTTAGAAAGTATGTGGAAGAAAATATAAGCACCACTACATTAAAAGCATAAGTGTAAGCACTAATAACATTAAAAATGGCCATGGCCTGTAAGTGGCCTGTGTGTGAAACTGAGACAAGTTTGGGTTGAAGCTTTTCAGAATACTAAAATATAAATACTATATACTCAGAGAGGAAACAAGCATCTTTCTTTTGCTTTGTTTTGATTCATGTGCTCTGTAGCAATATGACATGAAGAAAATACATCTGTCCTGTGAAACGTCCTTAATAAACCTTTAAGTCTTCAATATTATTTTTTAAAAATCTCTCAGCTTATCTGAGTTAGAGAGCATGAGCTTTTTACTTTCTCTTCTAGATAAAATGAATCAGTGAATTGCTTTAAATAATAATTTATAGAAAGTTGAAAAGCAAGCAGTAAGTGATGAACAGTCTATAATTGCTGGAGATTAATGATGGTTTATTGTAGGAAATATATTTATATACCAGTCACAGTTAAAAGAAACACTAAATTCTCCCAAGATTAGCTGCCAATTCAAGGTGAGAAGCAACAACAGGATCCAGATGGCATGCCTTTAAAAACAAAGAATATCAGAGTTCTAGTTTATAGCTACAATAAAACTGTATGTTATCAATATGACAAAATGTTTAGGTGCCAAAAAAAGGGAGAGAATCAACTTATTTGGATTTGAATACTTTTTCTGATGCCACATTAAAAAAAATAGATTAAAAATTAGCATACTGGACTATAGTGTTAGTCTTGGCTTTATTTTTTAAAAATTCTGTATGTTGGCATGGCAGATGCAGCTCAGAGTCAGAAAAATAAGTCTGCTTACAGACTGGATGAGTTTCACTCACATCCATCATCTACTGCAGGACCCTTAGGGATGCCCATGTTCTCTTTGTCATCTCTTAAAAAACTGACTCGGTCTAAGAATGGTAGGCCAAAACTAGAGCTGAGCAGTCAATTAAAACAAATATGATTTCAGGTAAGTATAATTGTACAGTTAACATGAGAATTTTGCAGGTACAAAAAAACTGGATACCCCCACAACTCTTTTGAAGTTACTGTTTCAGGGAGTTTTCTTGTTTATGTTGCTTCTCTTCTGCTATTGATTTAGAGACACATGACACCAGTCATAGGAACCACCTCTTTATACTGAGACATCAGTGACATTCCTAGACCAGTCTCAGGTGTAGAGCAGGTGAATAATGAGTGAAAGCTGTGGTCTCCTTTCAGCTGTGGCAGTTTTACTACACTTCAGAAAACAGCAGGAAGAGCTACACTCCTGCAATGCCATGCAGTAATTTAATCCTGATGGACCTCTTCAATGCCTTAACTAGGAATGGTCATAGTACCTCAGCTTCTGTTCCTTTCCTGATTGCCTGCTCATCCTATCCTCTATTGCATTTTTACAGTGAGAGAACAAAACATTCAGTGTCTGTATTCAGATCACCTGCTCTGCTAAGCCTTCTCTATCAGTGACTTCCCTGAGTAAAGAGCTACAAAATTTGCTTGCTGATTTATCATTTCCATAACTCTCCATTCATTTAGATTGCACCAAGATGGACACCACAGTATTCTACCTGCAGAAACAAATGGCCACTACACGCACAGAAACCACAGAGTCTCTAAAGCACAGATGCCAACTTGCTACATTCTGTTCAGCTGGTAAAGCTACCTTGCCTTGATGCCTTTAGGCATCACTGATATTACTCAACAGATTAATCTTCCAGAGGCCATTATTATTTTTCCTCAAGCTTATTTTCCATCAGTCTTACTCCAAATTTAGAACTTTGGAAAAAATTTAACTGGTTTTTTTCCCCTGTATATATTGAACAGATAAAGCAGTAGATCCACAGCTATCATGGAAAATGTAAATATAAAAATAAGCATGAGAACCAGTTATGGCCAATTTAATAAAGGTTGTAATTGTTACAGGCTGTAAAGTATAAGGAGTAGTTACAATTTTTCAGTTGTGTGACAATGACAGAAAGCAAATTAATTTGGGGTAAAATTATTCAAATTGTTTAGCTAATTTATCTTGCAACTTACCAAGCTCTTTGCTGCATAGATTTGTTGTTGGTGGTGGTGGTTATATTGCTTGCTTAAGCAAGTGGGCAGATAGCATCCTTTTAAGGCTATTTTTAGTAGTTTCTATCAGTCTACATGTTCTTGCAAATATTTTTTTAACACAGTGTTGGAGTCCTTAATGAAATAACAAGTTTAGACTAGACTCAGATCCAAGGTATCTCTCCATTTCACAAGATAAAAACCAGTCTGTAAGACTTTCTCAACTTACTTTAGAATAGTACTTCTCAGCAGCCTGCTTGTTTTTCTCAGTGCCTCTGCCTAGCTGGAGGCATCTAGCCAAGTAGAAAGCAGCCATAGCAGCCCCCTTGGCTAAATAGGTTGGATGGCAATCATTTAGCTTGGCTAGCGTGTTGATGTCATCATCTGCTGTAGCCCTGTTGTGGAATTTAGAGCAATGTGTTAGATAATGATAGTTCAAGCAATAATTAAAGTTGCCAAATATGACTTTTACAATGCTTCCTTTCTGTTTACATTATTATCCAAAATAAGCTGAAATTTACATGTATTTGGCATCTTATGAGGATTCTTCTATTTTATATTCGATTTTAAAGTCTTATTTGAACATTGTGGTATTGAACAGCAAACAAGGGTACAACTTTTGAAGTCACTTTCACTATAGTTATATTAGTTATAAAAGGCAACATATTTTATGCTAATTGTTCCCTTTAAATTATTTCATGAAAATTGTATGTGGAGGAAAGGCAAAGCTCTTACTTCCTCTTATTTCACTACATGAGCAACCTCATGTACTGGAAAATGTCCCTGCCCACAGCACAGGGGCTGGAACTAGAAGATCTTTCAAGAGCCAACCCAAACCATTCAGTGATTCTAGAATTCTAAAATTTCCAGTTCTTACAAGGATATTGGTAAACCATAGTATTCTGAAAATCTTGGACATATTGGGAGCCTCTGGTTATAAAACTGTTAGGAAAAAAACACTTATCACTATCTCGGCTCAATGATTTCCTTTCTTCTGCATGCTTGCTGCCATCTTAGTTTCAGCATGTTTTTACTAAAAACCATTTTAAGAATCAGAAGGACAAAGTGAATGCTGTTTTATCATTGGATCACAAGGAAAAGTTCAATCATACTGAGGAATTGAGAACCTTATAGTATTACTTTTGTCATTGGCTATTCTGTTGTTAAAGATGTTTTGCAATTCATTATCTCTTACATTTCTTGAGTTTAAAAGACACAGGACCATAATCTAATAATAATTTAAATCTGTTTTATGTGGTCTTGCATGAAGAACCTTAATGAAGCATAGAACAAAAATTACCTTTTGGCTAGTTCAGCGGCTTTTGAGTAAAATTTTCCAGTGTAGTAATATTCCACAAGATGGCCTTGAGCATAGAGATTTCCAAGTTCCGTAGCTTTTCTCAAGCACTCCAAAGCAGCTTGGCTGTTTCGACGTGTACCTTGTCCGTAGAGATACATAATGCCAAGTGCTGCCTTTGATTCCAGATTTCCATTTTGACATGCTTTTGAATGCCAGAAAAAGGCCTGAACAAGAGGCACAATGTCAGGATATGTATTTACTTAGCTGATTTTCTTGTATACTGTTTCCAGAAAAATTTTAACACCAAGCATCCTGTAAGAAGTGCTTATACATAAAAGAAAGAAGAATTCTTGTAAGGCTTTTAAACCCACTTCATTTACAGTCAGAGCTGTCAATCAGTGTTACCTGCTTGAATTATGAAGGTTACCAAAGCTGGCACAACTTTAATCCATTCTTTCTGATACTCTCACAAAAAAAAAAAAAACAAAACAAACCAAAAAACCTTAGCTAGCAGTGTCAAGTGAGTCAAAATGAGGAATTTTGACTATCTGTTTACATTGGCTTAAATGGATGATAATGTCTAACTACTCAAAATACAATGTTCAGAGTCAAATATACCACTGTATTATTTCTCTGAAATTAAAAATTAGTCATGACTACTTTTTATTTCAAAAGGTAGGGCTTTACCTTCTTCATATCTTTTAGAATTGGCATAGAATAAAGCATCCCTAAAGTACTCTGGGCCTTTACACTTGCTTTTGAATTTCCATTGTCTGCAGCAGTAAGCCACAACCTAAGAAAATGGGGACAACAAAGTTTAAGAAACACACAATCTTATAATTTTTCAGGAAAATCACAGACTGCCCTTACCTTTCAGCCTCTTCAACTGAATGTTTAACACCACATCCTTCATAATATGCCCTGCCAAGATTGTATGCAGCTGCAAACTTCAAGTGACTTGCTTCTGGGGAATCAGAGTTGAGTATTTTATTCATGTATTCCACTCCCTTCTCCTAAAATTGTAGGAAATATAAGTTATGTAAGTTCTATATAAGTTATTATGTTCAGACTGTGAAGAGGATGACATATATAACCTGAGAATGCATTAACTTCTGCAAGACAGGTAATTTTTTCCCCTTTGAAGAAAAGCTGAGGCCTACTGGCAGGACAGCTTGGAGAACAGTGTCATACCAAAGGAGAACTAACCTTTGGTTACTAGACAGCCCCTAAATTTTAGACTCCAGCACATTTTTAGTGTGAGACATTTCCTCATAAATGTTCATTTGATAATATATTACTCTTCTTCCCTGACAATTTTTTTCTGAAAAATATTATTGTGTTTATGTAAATGAATGTCACATCCTAGACTTGTAACATTTTCAATTTCAGAATTCTGAGAACTTTTTAATATTTCATATTGTATTTGAAATCATAAAACAATCTTAACAAGAAGGCAAAGTGATACATAGTACAATTTGAAGTCTCTGCAATTAAAACACCTTAGACTTATAAAGGACAAAATCTGATCATGTTAAATAAGCAGATGGATAACATTGCATATGAGCAACTGGGCCTCAGAATTACTTTAGAAATAAGATTGACACTGTTAGGATTTAGCATGGACACCCTGTATAAATACACTAGAAGCAGTCCTTTATAAAAGGTTTTGCTTTTATCTAGCTTTCATATTGTAATACACAAGAAAGAAAGTAACTTTGTTAAAATGTTTATTTGCAAGTAAACAAATGTGGTAATTATGCAGACATACAGAAAAAATAAACCACCTCCAAACCCCAATCAGAATGTTTTCAGTTCTGCTGACAATGCTGTAAGCACCAGACAGGAGGAGTCCCAATTGTTAATACACTCATCGGTTCATTTTTTTTGGCCTTCTGTCTTATAATCGACCCTTTTATTCCTAATGCTTGTGTTCTTTCCTTATGCCACTCTTTAAGATCATCTTCACCAACAAATTAACTCTCCTTATTGTAAAAAGCATTCCTTTGTCTTCTTTTTTTGCAATAGAATTCTTCAGTCTGAATTCTTCAAATGCTTGCAAATGTAATTTTTCATGTGTCTAACTTAAGAATAATACTGTCAACCATTGGTAGAAGCACAACCAATGTGCTGAAAGAATAAAAAGTACCTTAAAAAAATCTTTGTGCCAGAGATCTTATACTTTGAAATATAATTGTTTGATTTCCACTTTTACTCACTTTATTTTCATCTATATAGTATGCTTATTAAAAAGTAAAAAAATTAAAGCAATTTAAAACGTAGCTTCCACATGAAGTTCAACCAAGCCCTTGAAAGTTAATTTTAAAATAGAAATGACTGTATTCTTTTATTCCTATTTTATTATAACAATTTTTGAGAACCTCCTCAACCCAGAGTCTTCATTCTTTAATGATGCTCTGTAAACATCTGCACTTTATGAAACTAAATGAACAGGCTGTTAATTTTAAACTAAATAATCATGCTTACAAAGAAGCTCCTAGTAATTATCACCTGATATTAGAAGAAAAATAAAAAGTGTGCAGCTAAATAACTCACAGGGTCTTTTGTAGTGCCAAGTCCATCATAATACATTACACCAAGCTGATACATTGCTTGAAAATCTGTATCCTTGACTTTTTCAAATCGCTTTAATGCTTGTTTGTACAATCCCTGAGAAAGAGAAAACAAACAATAACTCTCTGATATATGCACCCTTACTATTTTTCAATCTGGTCTATTTCTCTCATGAATGAAGAACAAGAAATTGCAACCACAGAATTGTCAGAAAACAGAGTAAATAAAGAACCAAGAAAGTTGGGTAACCAAAGGCCATTCTGACAAACTTTCTCCCCTCCCACAAACTGCCACAAATCTTTTCAATTTGAGCAGATAAAGTCTAGTTCAGAGTCCCTGCCCCCTCGATCTGACATCCTTTAACTTAGGTCAGCTGTTCTTACACCTCGAGTGTAAGAACACCTTCTTACACCTCTAACAGTCTGCTTTTACATCTCTGCTAAGGGCTGGTTTCACAAAGACTAATCAACCAGATGTCTGAAGACTTTCATGGACCAGATGTCTGCCACACATACCTTATGGAGCTATCACCTGCAACAACGGAGGTACTTTTATTCCTAAGAATGAATCTCTGAGAGTATTTGCTTCTGCATTAAGTCTGAGAAGAAACCACACTTACAAATACAGTTAAACAACTGTAATACAACAGTTAACTGAGCCTGGTGTCCTCAGTTAACTGAAATACTTTTACACATGAACACTAAGCAAAAACAATAGAGAAATTAAAATATTCTTATCTATATTTTTACTTCAAAATTTCTGTGTGTTTTGATAAAAAAAAGAAGACTGCAAAAGCTTAGAACTGAGCAACAGTTCAACACTCAGTCAAATGTCCTCACAATGACCAATCAACCCCTATTAATACTGACTAAGCTATTATCTTAATTGTCTTGGGAACTTATCCATTTTGATTGTGGGGCTTTGTATTTTTAAAGAACTCTGGAAAAAAAAAAAAAACAGTTTCTTTTTGCAACTAGCTGTCATGAATATCAGAAAAAGAAGTACAGGAGGCACATTTAAACTCACCTTTCCTGAGAATTTTGTGCTATGTGAAGGAGACAAAGGGTTGTGATTAGGAAGTGGGTTTTCTTCCCCAGTATCTAAAAGTACAGTGCTGGGAGCATGTGCATTTTTAGGCATTACAGACATACATTAAAAAATCTGAAAATTAAAACCTGCTCAAAGAATAAATTTAGGGATGTACAGCAATATCTATCATGGACATCCAAGCCAGCTTGTCAAGAAACAGAGGAGTCTGTTCATTCAGCTCCATGGAATTGTCTCATGGAATTGTTAATGAATTCGTAATTCATTACCAAAACATTAATTCATTAACGAAATCATTAAGGACAGGGCCCAGAATGCAGGAAGCCTGAGTTGATTCTGTTCCTGCTGCAAGCCGTGAGACTGATTTACACTGTGCTACTGCTGCACTGTAAAGAGTACTGCATCTGTGCATGGCAGATCAGAAAGTATCTGACTCATTGTTTGTACTACATTCTTTTCTATCTTCTTGAACTAAGTTCTAATTGTCACAGGAAGCTGAGGTTTACATTCACTTGCCAGCCAGTCTTACCCTGTTCCCTGAGGATTTACTTTCCAAGACTTGGATGACCAATTTTAGACAAACTGGGCAGGGACAGAGATCTTGAAGATTATACATTTCAACAAGTTCTAGTTCCCAGGTGGGGAACAAAGACGGAAAACTGTGTCTTGGTCAGGGCTCACTCTCACTATAACTGAAATCAAAGTGTGTTGTATTTGGGCAGTCAGCTGCCCAAAAACCCAACCTGGCTTGGAAGTTAGCTGTAAAGATAGGCTGCTACTTACTTATCTGCTCCTTAGGAGACCTCTGAGGGAACTGGAAGACCTCACTAGATGTCTGGGCAAAGTGCAGCTTATTTAGGGGGAACACCAGGCGATTTTAATCGGAAGAAAACAAGCACAGGGAACTTCCCTCTTTTAGGTTTTTAAGGTGTCTCTTTTTTCACGGAAAAGGTGTTGAAAGCTGTCTGCTTTATAGTATTTACTTAAAAGAGGGAAAGCACCTGTTCATAGTATCGTTGTCCCCTCTGAAAAAGTGATGGAGGATCTCCACGTGCCTCACTCCTCCCTGGCGACTCCTCCGATTTTGCCAAGAGCGCATCCCGGCAGCGGTCCTCTGCTTAAAAACAGACACACGTTTGGGTTTGTCCCCTAAGAGGTGAAACCTGCCTTAATACAGTAGATGTCTGAAGTTGGCCGGGTCCCCTTTCTAATACGGTCTTCAGAGACTAAGATGAAAGAGAAGGCTCTGTTATAGAACCGGAAAGCTGAGCGAAGGCAGCCCGAAGGAAACGTTCAGTGAATGCAGCCTGACCGCCGTGTGCG